GAAAAGGACATCGCACTCATCATCAAAAAAGATAATCTCAAACCTTACAGGCAGTTCTCCTCTGTCCTAAAAATGTGGTGATGTGTGGGGATTATCTCAATTGTGAGAGTTTTGTTGGTTTTGCTACAGTGTCAAAGAAACTTCCCAGGTCGCTTCTTCCTTTACCAGGAAACCCAACCTACCACTGCTCCTTTGACTTGGGGTAGCACAACCTTGCTTCCACCTCATTTATTGTTGTTGCTGTTATGTGCCATCGAGTTGCTTGCGACTCATAGCGACCCAATGTCCAACAGCCCTGAAACCTGCTCTATCTTGTGCCAACTTTCCTGTCTCTTACACACCTACCCCCATTACTCCAGTCACTGTATCAATAGTCATCGATGGTCTCCCTCTCCTTCTCTACCCCTCTGCCCTTCCAAGCATGACATTCCTCTCCAAGGATCGGTCCCTCCTTGCAACTTGTCCAGAGTATGTCAGATGAAGCCTCAGGATCCTTACCTCCAAGGAGCAGGCTGGTTTAACCCTCTCCAGGACGAATCTGTCTGTTCTCCTGGTAGTCCATGGTATATTCAACACTCTTCTCCAGCACCACAGCTCAAAGGCATCAATTCTCTTTCTATCATCCCTAGTCATTGTCCAGTTCTCTGACACATAGCAAGCAATTGTGAAGACTGTGATCTGGATTAGGTGCACCTTAGTCTCCAGAGTGACTTGAGAGACAAAATATTTCAGTGATGAGCATGTACCCTGAGCCTCAGAGATGAGAGATGGGGTGCAGAGGTGTCTTGAGGAAGGGAGTTTCTTAAGATGTGTCAGGTATATGGTATATGCCCTGAGTGCCAGGTGATCCTGGGCAGCTTCTATTAACCATCAGCTAAGAGAGATCCTTGAGCAAGTTATAAGGAATGTTTTTATGTCCAGGATGTTCCATGAGCCAAGGGAGACTGTGGCTCTGCTAAGTGTAAAAGATGCAGCTAAAAAACATTCTGCGCTCCGCAGAGCCCTTTTCATCACTGAAGGCCAGGAAGGCACAGTTGTCCTTTTACATAGTGGTATCGTATGTTAAGCAAAAATTAATGAGCTTTAAAATACACCACCAAATAATTTGAAGATCTATTCTGCAGTGTAATGCTGACAGAGATGGGTTCACATCCATCCACATACAAAGAAAGACTGGCTTATAGGACTTATCACTTAATTACACACCAATTGTTAAGGCCAAAGATGAAAAAAAATTGAAGTTTTCTCCCAATTTTGCAGTCTGAGTTGATGAAACACGCAACCAAGAGGCATAAATAATAAATTATGGTGAGACTGCAGATTTTGGACATAAAGAAGGATTGTTGCTATTGTTGTTAGATGCCTTTGAGTTACAGTGAGTTGAGAGTCTCACTTATAGTGACCCTGTGAACACCAGATCAGAACCCTTTCCTAACCTGTGTCATCTTACAGTCTCTGACATACTCAAGCCCATTGCTGGATCAGTGTGTCAGTTCACCTAGTTGAGGGTCTTCCTCTGCTTCACTGTCTTTTCACCTTTACAAGCACGATGTGATGTCCTGCTCCACGGATTAATTCCTCCTAGCAACGTGCCCAGGGTTGAGGGGTGGAGGGGCAGCGCAGGAGGGGAAGACCCTCTATGAGATGGATTGATTCGGTGACTGGGGTAATCGGGATGGGTGTGTCAGAGGCGGTGCGGTTGGCGCAGGATAGAGCAGGGTTTAGGGCTGTTGTGCATAGGGTCACTATGAGTCGTAAACGACTCGATGGCACATAACAACAACAACAGCAATGTGCCCAAAGTATGTGAAACGAAGCTTCATCTTTGGCTCCAAGGAGCATTCTGGCTGCGCTTTCTCCAAGACACATCTGCTTTTTCTTCCAGCAATCCATGGGCATTCAGTACTCTTCTTCAACACCACAGTTCAGAGGCATCATCAATTCTTCTGTCATCCTTATTCATTGTCAGCACTCAGATGCATAGCAAGTGACCAAAAACCACCGTGGCCTGAATCAGGGTCTCTTTAGGATTAGTAGTCAGAAAATATGGTTGATCATGGAGATGAGGTTGAAGATGGTATGACAGAATTTTGTACAACTGCCGATGTATTCATTATATATACCTTCTTAAAAAAAAAAAAAAAACACCCAAAACAACCAAACAACAAAACACCACATAGTAACATCACCTGATGGAATCAGATTGACTACATCCACATAAAGGGACAGTGGAGAAGCTTAATAGAACAAAGTCAGGGGCTGAGTGTGGAATTGCCCGTATATAAGTTGACAAACTCACTCACTCACTGCCATTGAGTCAGAAGCAACTCACAGCTGATCTTACTACACTATAAATCGCAGTGTAGAAGACTGCCCATTGTTCTCCCGAGGAAATACTGGTGAACTTGAACTGTCAGAGAAGTGTTACCTTTGGGTTAGCAGTGCAACTCCATATGGCCTTGAAGCTGAAGAAAATGAAAAGAAATCTTTGAGAGTCAAAATATGTACCTTGAGTATATCTCATCTGAGTTTAGAGACTTAAGAATAGATTTGATGTACTGAGTACTAATGATTAAAGACCAGAGAAATTGTGAAATGACATCAAGAACATCAGACACGAAGGAAGTAAAAAACAAAAAACAAACAAAAACATGACAGGAAAGAGAGAAAAGATCAAAGTGGATGTCAGAAGAGACACTGAAAGATGGGTAAGTCTTTGCTCTCCAGAACTCACTGCAAAGCTCCGGGTAAGATCACCATTCAGAGGCAAGTGCCCCAGAACGTGGTTCCAGAATCACCAGAAAAGATAGCAGACTTCCTGCTCACCAGCATCCACATACCTCACCTCCTATTTCTAGTACCTTCCAGTCTCCTGTATCATTTTCATGGTGAAGGCTAGTTCAAGGACAGATTACCTTCTCTCAGACTAAGAACAGGAATGAATGGGTGTGTAGGGAGAGGAGATAGACACACAGAGGTGCAGAAGGATCACACAGACGTGGGAAGAAACCCAATATCCAATCTCTAATCTTATTTTCCCAATCATTTGTAGTAACTGTCAACTGTCTACTTTATAATTGTTTTGTGGTGGATGTCATCAAGTTGATTCTGATTCTTACTGGGTACAACTGGGTCATTCTCACAATCATTGCTGTTTGAGCCCACTGTGTTTGTAACCATGGTGCCAATCCACCTCATTCACTGTCTGTTTTTCACTGACTCTCCGTGGAGAAGCACATTTCCCTTTGCCAACACTAGTTGTTAGGTGTCATCAAGTCAGCTATGACTCACAGCAATCCTACAATCCTGTGCCATCCTCACGACCTCTGTCCTCTCCCTCACTGACCCTCTACCTTTCCCAGCATGATGTTTCTCTCTAGGGTCTGAAGAGTCCTCCTGAACATATGCCCTAAGTAAATGAGACAAAGTTTCAACATTCTTCCCTCTAAGGAGCAGGCTGGTTGCACTTTCTTTAAGACAGATTTGTGTTGTTTTTGGTAGTCCCTGAGAAACTCAATCATCTTTGCCAATGCCACAATTCAAAGGTAAGGATTTCCCCCTCTTCCCTTTATTAACTGTCCAACTTTCATATGCATAGGATTCAACTGAAAACATCACGATTTGGATCAGGAGCACCTTAGTCTTTAAACTGACATCCTTGCTCTTTTAGAATTTTGGAGAGGTCCCTGACTATAGATTTCCCCAAGTCAACATAAAGCAGTTGGATTCTATGAAGAATGTGACATCAGAATTGCACGAAGATTCATCAATAACCTGTTATGTAGATGACAAATGCTTGTTTGCTGAAAGTGAAGAGGACTTAAAATACTTACTGCAGATCAAAGACTACAGCCTTCAATATGGGTTATATCTCAGTATCAAGAAAACAAAAATCCTCACAACTGGATCAATCATCAGCAATATCATGACAGATGGAGAAAAGATTTTAATATTTTTTTCCAACACTTGGTCCCTTCTAATGAGACTAGAGGAAGTTTCACTTCTCAAGAGTATGCTCGTTGTACATCTTCCAACATGAATTTGTTCATTCTTCAGTCTATGATATATTCAATAATCTTTGCTAACACAATCCAAATGTGCTAATTCTTCTTTGGTCTTTCTTTTTCGCTGTCCCTTTATGACAATTACTCTAAAATCCGTGTTGTTTAATCTGACACCTTTAGAAACAGTGCTATGAAAACGGCAGGCTATCTCCCTAGAAAAATGCACAGGCATTTGAAACTCTGTGGGAACACAGCAGGGGCTTCCCTGACCACTCAGGGTGATGTTGAGTTTACAGTAACTTTCTGCATTAATTTAGAGAATCCGAACTACGTTGTCTTTTTTCGGGTGCATTTCATGGTTCTGTGTTTCCTCCACCTCCGGGAGGAGGGGCGCCGGGTGGCATCGGGCTCCACACTCATCATTGTTTCCCCGGCGCCTGGCACGGATTGCGCAGGGATGGTTGCTGGAAACCCGCCATCCCTTCTCCTCGCCCGCCGACCCCGCCTGCGGCCCACAGGTGCGCCTGACTCGGAGGCGGGCACTGGCCACCGAAAGGAAAGGAAGGGGGTGTCAGCGTCGGTTTTTAAGTGTCAGGCGCCAGCCGAGCGTTACGTAGACAAAATGAGACCGCGCGCGATGAGCGGCCTGCGTACGGCCTCGCCCCGCGCACGTGACGGCGCCCCGCTCCACCCTGTGCTCCCTCCAGGCCCCGCCCCTCTTCTGCACGGTCACGCCCCGCGTCTCGCCCAGCCGAGCCTAGTGCCCTCGTCACGCCCCACCCCTTTCCCTTATTCTGCCCAGCTCCTCCCCTCGCTCCCGCCTAGCCCCGCCCCACCACGCTCTCATATCCTATCTCGCCCCGCCCTTCGCTCCCTCCGTCCCCGCCCCCCCATGCCCCGCCCCGCGCTCGTGCCCCGCCCCGCCCCGCCCCTCCAGGCCCCGCCCTGCACCTCCACCCCCGCCCCGCGCGTAGGGCTCCCGCGTTCCGGTCGGCCGGCTCTATGGGGAAAGCGGCCGCTCCGAGCCGAGGCGGCGGCTGCAGCGGCCGCTCCCGCGGGCTCTCGTCGCTGTTCACGGTCGTCCCCTGCCTGTCCTGCCACACGGCGGCGCAGAGCATGAGCGCTTCCACGCCCGGCTCCCGGCCGGAACCTAAGCCTCAGCCTCAGCCGGTGTCAGCGTCCGAACCGCTGGCAGAACAGGTGTCGGAGCCAGTTTCCGAGCTCGCGGCCAGGTCCGAACCGGTGGCGGAGCCGGAGCCCCGGCAGGGAGCGGGCCTGGCGCTGAGGCTGGGATCCGGGGCAGCGCCCGCGCCGGGCTTGGCCCCACCTGCAGGGGTCGGGTCCTTCACTCACACGGTCTCGGAGCCGCAGGAGCCCTTGCCCTTGACCAAACTCGGATCGGGGCCGCTGCCGCCTCTAAAGTCCCAGCAGACTCCTCGACAGTCAAGGGCAGCGTCGTCGGCGGGAGCGTTTTCAGCGATTAGTACCCGCAACTCCAGCGGCGGGACAGCCTTACTGCCCCTGGACAGCTTCAAGGGCTGGCTGCTCAAGTGGACTAACTACCTGAAGGGCTATCAGCGCCGCTGGTTCGTGCTCAGCAATGGCCTCCTCTCTTACTACAGGTATGGAAGTTCCAGGGAGGGGACATCTGAGGTTGGAGGGCGACTGATGCTGTCTCTATGCGAGAGGCCATGTCTCTGGATGGTCTCCAGGCTTGGAGGGACACCGCTCACCTAGGGACACTTGGGGGGCCTGGAAGTCGGGCAGAGGAACCTCCTGTGGACGTGACCCCAGCGAGCTTGGGTTTGAAATGTGTTCTGAGAGCGAGAGGCAGTCATGGGGCTCCTTTGACTCTCCTTTAGTAGCTGTGGAGTTGGGCTTCCGCGATGTTTCTAGATCTTTTCCCTGCTGATTTGCTAGCTGAGTCGGCTTGGCCTGCAGACGGCTTTTGAGGTCAGGTGGGTATATTTTTCAGGTAGTAGACGGTGGAAAGATGCTGTCCTCTTGTCTCATTTTCGCTGTCAATTGCGGGATTCAGCCCCTTTCCCCAAACAATTGCCCCTTGGAGTTCAGGCAGTTTGTTTCTTCTCAATTCTTCAAATTGAGTCGTCACTCAATTTGTTTCTTGCCTTGTATTAAACGCCTGCTCTTTTGGGCCCCGCCCCTGGCATTTTGTGAAGACCCCAGATGCATCCTGTTCTCCTCTTGAATTATTCCAGAAGCAGTTCACAATTCAACACCACAGGCCAAGTGGGAAGCAGCTAATGCTTGGCTTTTTACTGGAACTGGTTCTCTCATTGTGTAGGGTCAGGACTGACTCAGAGCTGACCCTCCAGCTGGTTTCCGGAAGCTGTAAATAGCATGAGAGGCCACTGTCCATCTTTCTCTTTCACAGCCACTGGTCGAGTTAAACCTTCAGAGAGGTTAGCAGCACAAATCCCTATGGACTTGACCACCAGGGCTCCCTCTGAAACTCACTGGAAAGGAGCAAGATCCCAAGAGCCTCTCTTCTTGATGGCTGTTATCTGAATGTGTTTCCTGGAATTGGTTGAAGCTTTGAGAGCACTTTTCACAGTGCTCTAACCTATACTATTCACACTTGAATCTGGACCAGAATTCCTTGGGAGCTGGTGAAAACAGGAAGTACTGGGCTCCATCCACTAAGTGTCTGATTTTTTGGCAGATGCCCCTGGGAGGACTCAAACAGCCAACATTTTGGTTAACAGCCAAATGCTTTTCTTGCTTCCAACCACACACTGCTCTGATGCAAACTGGAGGGCCCTGCTTGGCTGTTTCTTGGGACTTGGGCCACCTTGCTTACTAGGCCAGGTAGTAACTCTTCAGGTCACCCTATGCAAGGGGCATTCATTCAATCCTTCCTGGCGTTTGGAGCACAGTTTCTGGGGGATGGTTGAGCCCATGACACCCCTGCGAATCTGAGAGCTCTCTTAAAGTTAAAATGTGTTTATTCACTGGCAGGAGAGAATGTGATAACACATTTCTAATGTTCTCATGTGGTGATGTGATACATTTCTTCCTCTAGGCCTGAAGACAGCACCATACCTACCACCTGTCACAGCAAACATGTTATTCTTAGAGCAGTAGGGGACGCTGAGTGAAAGGACTCACTGAGTGTCTCACAGGTCTTAAGACAGCCCTGGTATCAGGCATGGGAACATTTTACCCAGCCAGGCAATATTCCCTCAATGGTTGGCTGTGTCACTGACTCCTTGAATGCCTGAGTCACGTAGTCTGTGGACCACACACTCTTGATTTTGGTTAGATTTACTTCTTTCATCCTTACTCCTCACAGTGAGGTGGACTTCAGTGTTGTCCTGTTGCACAGATGAGGGTGCTGAGGTTTAAGAGGGGGAAGTTAATTATTTAAAGTCACCTAGCAGTGCTGCAATTCTGAAGTCACACAGTTCAAGGCCATCAGCGGCTCCATGGGAGAAGGATAGGCAGTCTCTGAAAAAGCGCCGGAGGGTCAGAGATGGATGGTTTCTGACTCTGCAATACACAACAACAACAACCAAGTAGGGAGCTCCGGTGGCCTAGTGATGAGAAACTGTGCTGCAGTCCTGAAGGCACACGGTTTGAATCCACCAGCTCCTCCACAGAAGGATGGGCAATCTCCTCCCTTGTGATTAAACTGCCTCTGAAAACCGAATGGAGGGCCTGCTGTGGGTTGGTTCTTACTTGATAGTCCACCACCACAACAGCCACCACCAAGAAGGTGGGGCTGACCCATGTGAGTCCGTTCCATTTGTGTTCTTAGAGTCCCACTCCTCCTCGATGGCAGCGTTTCCTGATTATCTGTATCTGCCGACGTGCCACTAACTGTTGGGATCAAGACCTTATTTATGATCTAGGTCCATACGCTGGTAGGAAGGTCTAGTCGTTGTTACAGGCCATCAAGTCATTTCCAATTCCTGACATACAACAGATGGAAATCTAGCCCGATCATGATCACGCACTGTCCTGAGGTCTTTGTCTCTTCCGTTGCCCCCTCTTGCTTTTCTCTTCTTGTTGTGGTCGTGTGCCCTTGAGTCAGAAACGACCATTACTGACCCTCCTGCAAGTTTTCAGAGATTGCAATTGCCTAGGAAGAGATTGCCCATCCTTCTCACACACAGCAGAAAAGGTGGATTCAAACCACATGCTTTTGACTCTTACCACTAGGCTCCCTGAGCTCCCTCTTCTTGCTTTTTGTCGTCGTCGTTGTTGAGTACTGTTGAGTCAGAATCGACACATAGCTGGTCCTCCGGTGGGTTTTCAGAGGCGGTTAATCACATGGGAGCAGATGGCCCATCTTTCTTCTGCAGAGCAACTGGTGGCCTTGAACTGCATGACTTTGGGATTGCAGCGCAGCTTCTTGCCATTAGGCCACCCAGATGCTTTAGTAGAAGTTAAACCCTGACCTCATGGATTTTGCTTGTTTGGTTTTTAACTGGAAGAGCAAAGTCATCCTTTCTTTTTTGTAACAAGTTTCTATATGACATTCAAGGTAATCTCAGATGCTCAGGGTGGTAGGAAACATTCTTGCTGCGTGCTGATAAGGCTGTGGAGACAGAAATTTGTTTTGGGGGAGCTGCGGTGGTGAATCTTGTTCCTTATGTATTTGCTTGCACAGCTCGGCTGTCTAGTTGTTTGTGTTGTTTTTTGTTTTGTTTGTTTGTTTGGTGAGGTTTTTTTTTTTTACTTTTCCAGATTCCAAAGTGGGCAGGAGTGGCCCTTGACTCTCCTGGTTGGAATGAATGATGCCTGTTATTTAGGTAGCACTGGGCTCTCATTCAGTCCCCTGTGAGGCCTTCAAGCCCACTTCGTAGGTGGGAAAATTGAGGCAGAACGGAAGAGCTTCGTGGCTTAACCACAGGTACCAGCTGCAGTGGTATCTTTATTTACTCCACAGTTGAATGCTGCTGGAGCTGTCTGTCTGCAGAGAGAACCCAGCTTAGCCCTTGAGGGTGGGGGAATCGGGGATCGCAGCTTCTTCCCTGGGCTCTGTTAGAAGAACACTTTGCTTGGCCCTTGTTTTGTGTAGTGCAGCTCTGCTGATGCTCAATTGTATTCTCCCACCCTCCACCAGGCCCTGTCCCAATTAGGAACCAAACGCTACCCTCCAGTCAGGGCACGCCCATCCTCCAGGCCTGTGGCTCTCAGGTGTTTTGTGCGTTGATTATACTCCCACCAGCAATAAGTTATAGTGCCTGTGATTTCCTAGATTTCTTAATTTTCTTGCCAATCTGATGGATATAAGACATCATGTTTCAATTTCCCTTATTTTTTAAAGCAGTAGGCTTTGGATTAGAATTTCTCCCTTATGTGGTGTTACCTCAGACCCTTGTGTCCTGGATTTTGTTTGAGAAGCTATTTGATTGCTTAGGCTTCTTTTAAGGGAGGAAGCCCATGGCTCCAACAGTTGGGCTTAGTAATACTTGTATCACTTGGAATGAAAAAATGCTCTTTGTAAATATTATCACATATGTAAAATATTTCTGAGAGTTTGGGTAATTGTTGGCAGGTTTTTGCTTTTCTTCTCTCCAACAATGTGCTGGGATTATAAATAAGGGAGGAGAAGAGATTTTTATTCTGCTACTTAGTACTCGTCATTTCTTATCCAAGCATTTACAACTCTGCTGGCCTAGACCATAGGGAGTTGTGTTGCTAACATAGGGGCCACACTTCTCTGGTGGTTCGAATCCACCAGCATCCCTGAGGGACAAAGACAGTCAGTCTCCTTTTTTTGCAATTTACATCTTCATAAACCTAGAGGAGGGTCAATTCCATTGCTGTCGATTCAGATCTGATTCATATTGACACAGTCTATGTGCAGAATATGCAGATTCATCCAGCCATAATCTTTATATGTATTAAAGACAAAATTGCTTTGGTTAAGCAAAATTCTGTTGTTTTTAAAATTTTTTATTTTATACTGGTTTATTTACAACGTTTGTATCAATTGTTTTTCACACTGGGTCTTTCCCATTTCCTGCACCCCACCCCTCCACCCGTCAAATTGTGTGACCCTATGATTAACGCTTCCCCACCCCCTGCAAAATTCCATTTTGTTGTGTCTGTTTAAGGGCCTTAAAATGATGTTTGTTTAAAAAAAAAGTGATGTTTGTTTCACAGGAAAGGATTTCAGACAGAGGCACTTGTTATTGTTTTTAAATCTTTAATCAAATGTTTATTCTGAAATTGTGATGTCTCAATTGTATTGACTAACCAAGAATTTTTCAGAAGCCTTTGTTTTAAGACATGTTTTGCTAAAGTTGATTGATGGTTTGGAATAGCTAAACCGGTCAGCAAGGATGAGTTCAATGAAATTAGTCTGGATCAGTAAGAGAATAAGAGAGAGGATGTTGTTGTTGTTATGTGCCGTCGAGTCGCTTGCGACTCATAGTGACCCTATGCACAACAGCCCTAAACTCCGCTCTGTCCTGTGCCAATCGCACTGTCTCTGACACTCCCATCCCAATTATCCCAGTCACTGCATCAATCCACCTCATGGAGGGCCTTCCCCTCCTGCGCCGTCCCTCCACCCTCCCAAGCATGATGTCCTTCTCCAAGGACTGGTCTTTCCTCACTGTAACATGTCCAAAGTATGTTAGACGGAGCC